ATGTATGTATGTATGTATGTATATTGTGAGCTTTGTTATGGGATGGATTATATTGGGCACTGTTTGTAAACATCTACTGACTCCCTTAGGTTAAAACTTATGTGGCTATACAATATTTAAGATGTCAAAAATAAGCAGTTGACAAATCTGATGAAAACTACATGCTTGTGAGAGATTACGTATCTACCTATTGGGATGAGGACATCATACCTATGGGAGATGGTCCTCATCTTTTGAACGAGAAGGCACTTTCAAAATATTATAATGAACTAGCCATGTTAGATGGTAGCAACAAGTGTGTGGGATATGGGAGATACTGGTTTAAATTTAAAAGGTGGAAAAGAATCCATTGAAAAAAGTTGAAAAGAAAAAAAAAAGATCATTTAGTTTCTGATTAAGCATAAAAATTGACAAATTAATCACAACGGAACCAAATAAAGTAGCAATTAATGAAGATGAAATAAATGCACATTCTTTCAAACGACAACCAATAGGGTGATAGAGAGGGTGATGCAGAGGATGACGTTGGAAGGGTTAACACATGGTGCCCCATAGTTGTGGACATGAGTCATTTTTGTTATCAGTGGAACGGGAGGGGTGTCCGTCTCTGAGACACTAGGGATGGCACTAATGGTGATGGAAGAAGTGGCGGAGGAGGAGATGACGGAGGGGGTGGTCTCGATGACAGAGGAGGTAGTGATCCCTAGGGTGGAGAGAGTAGTGTATCTAGGGTGGCGGATGAGAAGATGACGTATACATGACAGAGGGTGTCATTATGTTGTCAGAGCGGGCGTTGAAGGCGACAAGGGTAAGAAGCGTGCTGTTAACATGTCAGAGCAGGTGGTCGGTAGAGGCTGAGATTGTTGTTACAGTTCGACATTTCTCCCTTTATTGTTGAGGCAAAGATGACAACATTCGTGGACAGGACGTATCCCAACCTCTTTCGAGAAGTCGACCCTGTCAAGTGGAAAGCATTCGAGGCAGAATGGAAAAGAATTATGGACGAGTAAGTATTTTATGATTTTAGTGAAGTACGTTAACTCATCTATTCTTTTTATAACTTTTCTCTTTTTCTTCTTTTAGAGCTAGCTACACGGTAGCTCAAAGGATGATACCGAACTCATATAAGTGGTTTCAAGACATTACGATTTCGGCAACTTGGCTCAGCAAGGATGTAAGTGTATTATCACAATTGTTATTATTATGTATTTAATTAAATTACTCTTTTTTCGTTGGTGTTTCCTGCTGTATTACATCGACCGGGCAATGGACCTGTTACGCGTTCGGACTCGAAGATATTCAAGATCATTGAAGATTCATGGCCAAGTTATATTGAGCATCAGTTCCTACATGTTATTGATGTTGAGCATTAGCTGCTCCAACTTCTGAGAAGGAGTACAGGGTGCCGAATATATGTTTGAATGGGTCATAGGGATGTAGTCGAGTGTCAGGGAAAAGACAAGGGCGAATTGTACGCATATGTACATTCCAGTGATTGTGCATTATCACTGCTTGCCGTGAAAATCGTCTTTACTGATTTTACTATATATGTGTACGACTTCGATCATACTCGTCTAACACAAGGTCAGCTTAAGCATATACTGGAGCGATGGCTGTGATTGTTCCTTTGATGGCTAGACAAGTGGGATGATTGTCCAAGATAAACTAGCCATTGTGCGGGATACAACGACAGCGAGACAATTGAAATCGTAAGTGTTTATATTTTTTTTTTATTTAAAAACTTAGTTTTAGCTATACGTAATCGAACTGACACATTATTATTTAATTGCAGGGGTAATTGACATATGTTCGCAATCAAGTATATTGAATTTTCGAGTATAGCACATAAGGTTGATGTAATCAATCAATTTTGGATACACAATTGGAGGAAGAAGTTCGTGCGCAATTTATATGAACTCAATTGTGATCCGTATTACATGTATATTATTTTATTTGAAAATATAAATATTTATTATTTAATTTTAAATCGTATATTGTTTCTTAAAAATGTAAATATTGTGCATTTAATTGTGCTTTGTAGTATATTGTATATTATTTTAATTATATGAAAACAAAGTATATGGACTTTATTGTAACTTTCTAATAGTTGATTCGGAACATGAAATTGTAATAGAAGATTAATAGTGATAAATTATGCATCTGTCTAATTGTTATTTAGGGGAATTTGACTTGTACAAAATTGGTGAGTATGCCATATTAATGTGCACCTGCCGCACTTAAGCGATCGAGGAAACTCTCTGATAGATGGTATTTTAGACGTACGTGGACATCCGGACCATGCGGTTTAACTTTGGGTGACAACAAACTATTAAGTAGGAGAATATGGTCAGGAACTCCGTACTCGACTTCATTTGGTAGATGAAATTTAGTCTCAACATACGCTGCTCTTTAATAATCAATCGTATTATAAGGGGAGTATAAGGTTCTCGCTGGAAAGCGTTTATATATATCTTGGTAACATTTTATCATTTCAGCATTCAAAGAGTTCCCAATCATGTGCAATTAATTAAAAAGTAGTACAAGGAAAATATTACAGCTTTTAGTGACAATGATTCTAGCTGGGAATGATTTTTAAAATTGTGTCATTGACCAACATTGATTGTGTTGCCATTATCTCTTCCCTTCCTTAATAGATTGTGTTCGTCATTCTGTATTTCTTTCTTCAACAGATTGTGTTGCCATCTTTTTAGCCATTTCCTTATCAGTACTTCTCTTAACATCCCCCTCAAGTTGGAGTGGGAAGATTCATGAACATCCAATTTGGTTTGACAAGTGTATAAGTTGTCTCTTGGTAAAGGCTTTGTAAATATATCTGCCGGACGTATTGAAAATTTTGAAAACAATTCCTTTGCATCATTTTTCTACTTATGAGGTGTATTATTTCTTATACAGTGTATGTTTAGGTGACCTATATTAGTTCATAACATAGTTAACTCATTTGAAAAGTAGGTGACATATTATTTCTAATTTTAATTACAATAATTTGTTGAAGCTGAGTTATATTAAGTCCGATTTGGTCCCTTTGGTCACTTTATAATAAGAACTAGAATGAATTATACAGATTATAACTTATTATTAACTAAAGCACTATTAATTAAAAAATTAAACCGGCACGTGTCATGCATGTTCCATTCATATATGAAAATTTTGGTTTGAACTAGATCAATGAAAGGACATGCACGCTATTGGAAAAAGCGACCAAAGTTGTTCTTGATGGTAGAGTGAATGCTTTGATGATTGAACAAGAGTGGACTCTAAATCTCTCAGTGAGACCACAAAAAGTTATTGAAATAAGTGGGGAAACATGTTCACTCTTGTTGAATCAAATAACTGTCTATTAACTTTATATGGACAAGAATAGAGATGGCAGTGGGCCTGCCACACCCCATGTCCTCTAAGGCGGGTGAAATAGTAGCAAGGTAGACCTCCGTGTTCGCCTTGATGAATACGGTGGTCCGGTTGCTCTAGTTGGTGGTTGCTACCTGCAAAATGAGGTTGGGGCTTTCTCCCCCGTTGTACCTCCGGCGTGAGAATTAGTAACGAGTTTTGAGAAG